CTTTTCCTTTGCTTCTGCCTTTACGTCATGTGCAAGTCGCCCTTGAGTATCCTGGTGAAAGTCTTCTTGAACTGCTGATTCGCCAAGGCGTAGCAGAAGGGATTCATGGGACTGTTGGCGTAGCACAGGAAGTACGAGAACATGAAGAGGTGCTCGTTGGTGCAGGGCGGGTTCGCGCAGAAACCCTCGACGAGCGCGAGTATGTGATAGGGCGTCCAACAGGCGACGAACGCGCCCAGGATGAAGGATATCGTGCGGAACGCCTTGCGCGCTCTGTTCTCCGTCCGCGATTTCTGCCGGCCTATCGTGAAGTCCTTCTTCTGCGTCTTCGCCTTGAGACGCTTGCCGATGGACTTGACAAAATCCCGCCTCGAGCCGCTCTGCTCCGCGTCCGATGAGATCTCCTTCCTTTTGGACGACTGCCGCTTCACCTCCTGCTGACTGTTGGTGGTGACTGACACCGTCGGCATCACGCTGCTGGACGACGAGTTTTGCGGCAGGTTGCTCACCTTCGTCAACTGATCGGAAACGCGGTCGGTCGTGCTGTTGGACGACTCCATCGTTACTACCACCGTCGTCGCCGTCAGCCCCGTCGTCGGCGCAGCCGTCGCCGCCGCACTCGTCACCACCGTCGTCACCGGTTGACGCTTTTTGCCGCCCTCCGCGTTCACGGTCACCTCGGTGTGCACCTTGCTCACCGTCGGCGATGTCTGCGAAGCCGCGTTCGTCTGGTGGGTGATGAAGACGCGCGGCGGATGCGTTTGACTGGACGCGTTCGACATGACGGGCTGCTGCACCAGCTGATGATGTTTGCTCTGCGCGACCGTCAGGTTTGCGCTACCAGCCTGCTGCGCGGTCGCCCTGATGAGAGCGGTCTGCAGCAGGCTGGTGTTGGCGCCGGTGCCGGCGCCGGCGCCAGTCGCCACGGCATTGCCCAAGATCGGTGATGGCGGCGCAGTCGACAAGGGGTTCGCCAGGCTGCAGGAGAAGGAAGACGGCGGGCTCTCGTAGGAGGGGCTGGGCAAGATGATGGAACTCTCGTCCATGTATCGCAGATCGCCGCCGTCCAGGCCGGTGAGGATGTCGTAGGTACCTTGGCCATGGGCACAAACGATGAGCGACTTGGGTCGGTCAGTGGTCGACGGCGACGACGTGCTGGGGCTGTCCACTGACACCGGCGGGCTGCTCTGGAACTGCGTGGGCGGCGGGATGATGTTCTGTTGAGCGCTATTGATCGACGCGCGCTTGCTTGGTACGGGCGGCGTCGTCTCGACCGCCGACGCGATCGACTGTTGATTAGCCTCGGCGTCGTTCGATTTCAGAGACTGCTCCGGCGTGAGCGTCCGGCTGCTCGACTTGTCCCGCTCGGCGGGATTGTCGGTGTCCAGGAGACTGAGCTCTTGGATCTTCGGCAGTGTCTGCGCCCGCTGCGTCGCCGTGCCGATCTCGCGCGTCGGGCTGGTGGGCAGTAATTTTCGCGCAGTCGGCACGCTCAGCTCCACCTTGACCGGTACGATGCCGTTGAGGCGCCCATTGGTGGCGAACACTTGCAAGGCGCCGGACTGGGCCACCAGGCCCGCCAACGACGACCGTTTGCGGATGTTGCTGTGTTGCTGGCTCGTGCCTACGGTGCTCTCCTCATCAGAGTCGAAGGCGGGGCTGCTGGAGCGCTCGGACTTCTCAGTCTCTGTGACCGTGGTGTTCGCGATAATGTTCTTACCCGCGGACTCCAACACGGTCGTCGCGGAGTCTCCGACGGTCTTAGCGGCGCTCTTCTGCGCGACGTTAGCGTCCGTGCCGTCGGCGCCTTCGTCCACCGAGGTCGCGCCGCCGACCTTCGACTTGTCCTGGCTCAGCAGGGTGCTCTGGGTCTTGGACATGCCGATCCCGGCGGCGCGACCGGCCATACCGGACATCGCGCCAGCGCTCAGCGCCACCATCGACTGCATCTTGCGCTGTTTCGCTTCGCTCTTCTTCTGCATGTCGTATGCGGTCTTGTATATACCGCCATAGAGGATGAACAGGACGATCAGAGTGGTCCAGTAGTAGCCGATTATCAACGCAGTGTTGAACACCGGGTCCTTGAGGAACTGTACCGCGCATTGACCCGGGTTCAAGTCCCTGTAGCCGATAAAGTGCTCCCAACCGAAGATGCTGATGAAGAAAAGCAGCGCCGGGATGATCCAGGTAATGGTTACCATCCAGATGACTCGTTGCTTCGTGCGCCAACTGCGGTATTGCGCGGCTATCTTCACCGAGCAGAAGCGGTCGATCGTGATCAGCAACACAGTGTATTGGGATACCAGGCACACCGTGTAGTCCACCGACAGCCACAGGTCGCAGAGCAGCGGACCCAGGTTCCAGTAGCCCATCAACACGTAGACCGTGTAGAACGGCATCGATACGGTGCCTGTGCAACAATTATGTCGTTAATTGTACGGCCGATTTCCATTGACGCGTGCGTTCGATTATGCACGGCCGTTCGATCAGTGACCGCGATAATCAAATTGCGCGTCTGCCACGAGCCTCCTCCCTTCTCTCACCCTTGCTCGCGACTAATGTGTAACAGCATCCTATGACGATTATAACGAACCGCGGATTTGCATTATTCTAATGACAGGCACAGTGCGTCGCAACTTTCGAAATTACGGCCGCGAAACGCGTCGTACTGAATGTCAAGGAGGAGCGTCGCGAATGGTATTTGCAGATAAGCGAGCGAACATCGGTCGAATTAAGTCGATAATTGGAGCAACCGAAATCAGATTGAAGTCGGCGCGATAATTTAATTTAATATCAAACTGATTCGGGCGATGGGCGGGATTAAATTTGAAAGGGGCGGAGCTAAGGACGAAGAGGGGCAAGGGAGCGTTGTTAGTTTCTTGAGGGGCGTGGCGAAATACAGAGAGGGGACATTCCAAAGAGGGTGGAGGAGAACGGCGATGGGAGGGGAGCGAATAGTTTCGGCGAACAGGACCGAGCAGGGCGCGTTTAAATGCGGGAGAGGGCGGGACTAATTTCGAGTTAGGCGGAGCTAAATTTAGAAGGGGCAAGAAAAACTAGGAAGGAAAGGATAGGGCCCAATACGGAGAGAGTGGGACTAAGTTTGAAAGGAGTGGGGAAAACTGAAAATGTGTGTGAGGCCTGGGAGGTTCTGGGTCAGGGTAAATGGAAGGGGAAATTTATATTTTTCTCTTTCTTTAATACATTTCATTTCTCTGTAAAACCATTTATTATCATTAAACCATTTATGTAATACCACGCGGGCTAACAAAAAATTAAATATTTAAAAAAAGTTTTATTCGAAATGTTAAGACAATCTAATTGACACGATATCGTCGACACGATTCAGAAACAAAGTTTAAAAGATGAATCTCGTTATAAAGTATTCCATTCAGTAATTTCAGTGATTTCGGTTCCTTTAATACATTTATTATTTTATTATATCACCGTTATTTTTATTTTCTATAATATCAATGTTATAATTATCCGGATTATTTTATTATTTTGATGCATTATAATCTTTTGTCTGAAAAAGTTTATTATTATTAGTTTATCGTCATTAATAAGCAACACAGTTCAATATTGTACATTATATACTAAATTATATTATTATGATAATAATATAATTATATTACTGAATTAAAGGTAAATACATGTATTATACGGCCTAATTAAAGGAGAATTATTTATATATCGATGTCAACATGCCACAAAATTGCTGAAAAATAACTTTCGCCAACTTTGAACACAAGTTATCTCACTGTACATCACGAAGCTCCACCAGCCCGTGTTATTAATATTCCATAATCGATGGAGCTTCAACGTAACGTAAGTGAAATTTACGCCGGAGAATATGTCAAGTCGCGATCGTTTAAGATATAATTATGTCGAATCACTTCGACGCGTTGCGAGAACTCCTCCCCCCCTCTCTCTCTCTCTCTCTCTCTCTCTCTCTGTCTCTCTGTCTCTCTGTCTTTCTGGAAGCCATTATGACATTTCTTCTCGAGACATTAACCGTTGACGAGAAATCACGAAACCATGACAAGCAACCAGTGCTTCTTTACGTTTATCGAATATCAACTTGCGGAATTAAATTGTCGAATTCGCGATTCTCCCATCTTTGAGTGAGTGGGGTCTTGCTAAGATATTTACAAGAATATTCGCTACCGACGCACAATCGCGTATGACTCGACGATCCTAGGACGGATTTAGATTTTCGATACACGATACACGGTGTCATTTCTGCGAGACGATGCGACGCTCACCGATGTTGATGAGGAGGATGAAGGGCGGAAGCGCTGTAGGACTTACCGATAAGCATATCAGTGGCGGCTAATGATGCGATGAAGTAGTTACTCGGTTGCCTGATGGCCCTATCTACGATGAATGCCAGAAGAACGAGGATGTTACCGCCGACGGTTAACAGTATGCATATCGCCAGGCAGATTGCGATCAGTACCGTCTGCCAGAGCGTGAACGGCGGCAAAACGGGCGTCAGAGATTCATCTGTTCGGTGGAGGTAAAGTTTCATCAGCAAATAATACACAAATCGTTAGCTAGCGCGAATGATGGATCGTCATCCGCGGCGCCGATATCTCGTTGAACTGGCGCGCGTATATAAATTCGTACTAACCGAAGAAATGATTCGCCAAAAGTGGAGAAAGAAGGGGAAAAGAAAGAGAAAGCGGAAGAAAGAGAGGAAGTGATTTACGGCGAAAAGCATTCGGGAGACGTCGCCCCCCCCCTCCCCGCCCCCGCCCCGCGACTATAGATTAATTTCAATTACATTACCCAACGTCGACGAAGTCGTCACGTTTCCGAAAGTCGAGCTGTTCGTCGCGTTTGTTGGAAACCAGTCGGGCAGAAGTTCCGCGTATTCACCGCTGCTCCAGCGCGGGTCATCCGGGTCAGGCCATGTTCCATTTAACTGGGTACATTCCGCCGTCAAAATCTGGTTGTACACGAATCGACATAGACGTTCTCGTTGTCTCTTCAGCTTCCTAAGAACGAACAATGAGGAGGATTTCCTTTTTCTTCTTTTCTTTACCGTCAAGTGCGAAATGCGTGAAATGGAGTTGCTCTATGCAACTCGAGGCGCACAGTATGGAGAACCGGTATGAAAAGCAACCCGTGCAACGGTGCGATGCTTTCGTCAATCGGTATAAAATTAAAAAGAAAAGCGCAGAAAAGCGGGAGAAACATCTCGCAGCGTTGGTCGCGCAGGTACACATCGCTCGTCGCTAGGAATAATACCCGACGAATAATAGTCCACCGTAACGAAACGTACCGAAAATCCCGGCTAATAATAACACCCAATCGAAAGTAGAGCACCGAGCGGCCATATAATTACAGATCAAACGAAATTGCGAATCGACTCGCGCCTCTCACCGCGTCCTCTCCCGCTATGCATTCGAATTAATTCAATTTACGTTTGATGACTCTTCACCGTGTCGAGTAAATTATATCACACAGCAGCGAGGGGAAAATCCGATAGTTCAGTAAATCACAATGTTACTATTCCTTCGCCGTGGCTGCGTGTTTGTTACCATCGAAGAAAATGTGACACCGGTATTTCCTGATTCTGTACACAGCGACATACACGGCCCTGCTCTCTCTCTCTCTCTCTCTCTCTCTCTCTCTCTCTCTCTCTCTCTCTCTCTCTCTCTCTCTCTCTCTCTCTCTCACACACACATACTCTTTCTCTCCTCTTCTCTCTTTCTCCTCCTCTCTATCATACTCCCTCTGTCCCTCTCCTTCTTGTCGAAGCGTTGCTGCAGTGGCAACACGAGAAGCGACTCAAAGGCTGAATACACCGGGCGCACAATGAGCTTGAAATAAGCATGAATGGAACCACATCCAACCCCTGCCGCCGGTCTCATCGCCGGTAGGCAAGGAACGACGGGGCACGCCTTAAAGAGGGTGAGTCCGTTTTTAAATCATTCAAGCAGTCGATCGGAATCTCGCGTAGTCGCGGAAATCGCGCACGACGGCGGCAACTCCTCTCCCGGTAATTCGCGACAAAAAACCCACTTCGAATCACGGCCATCGGGGTTGCTATTCTTATCGGCGTTTTACGGCCTCACAAAGAAAATCGCGCGTCTCTTCTCCGTCTCGCGCGTATCCGGTATATGATCGATTTACCATTTGGCTGTCAACTTAAACGCTTATCTGAGAAAAACCGAATATTGAACAAATATATATGTATATATATAGAAGGAGAAGGAGAGAGAGGGAGAGAAGTAAGTGCATGGGACACTTGAAAAAAATGCGACTTTGGCCTGAAATAAAGCAATTACTATATGAGAACAATCTAATATCAATACGAAACACGCGTGAAAAGCGGAGCGATAACGGAGGAAAATTCAGCGAAATCCAAAATCTCGACGCACTCATCTCATTTCGCGATTCAGTCGCAGTCTGATTATTCGTATAATGTTTCATAAACGTGCCCACGCACGCGAGTAACGCTTTAACTCGACATCAGGGAGTAAAGCAATGCAAACACTTCACATATGAGGGCTGCCAATGCAGTTCCGGATACTTGCCAACCCCTTGTCACACTATTACGAGGCTGAATGGAAACTCCAACTCCGGCTTAGCATGCCGTTTCACCGGGAGTACACGAGCGATAGATTATCGCGTCTGAAGTTCGACTGAACTGGAATTCTTGAGCGGGATAAGGCCGTTTGAGTATATGACCCGCGATACGAGCGCGATTCCGCGTGCTTTCTTCAGCGTCAAAGAGATCCTCCGTATTCAACGTCGACGACGAGCATTATGTGGCTGCGAACGGTGCGCTGTGGCGGTGTGTTGGCACAATGGGCGAATGATTTTTCGCGAAACCCCGGCGGCGATATTTCCGACGGCGCGGGCGGACACCTTCGACGATGTACGCTGCAATCGCGATTCACTTGGCGATTACACGGGAACGTGAGATGAAATAACGCGTGTATGCGCTCCCAAGCGAGACGAATTATCGTCGTGTACAGATCGAGTTGTATTTCTGCTTCATTAATTTTGTTTACAACGAGAGAGCTTATCCAACAATCGAATACGTCGGAACGTGCTATACGTGGATATGTTCCTCAAACATTTTTAGCTCGGTAAATATTAAATTTTGCAAAAACCGCTCTTACCACTGTCCCCTCCCCGACTCCCTTCACGCGCTGCTTTCGCCCTCGGCGAAGAAGCTTATAAATTGACGAATCTCACGTTAACATTATTGCGACGAGTGCCGGGGCGCGAGCACCTGAGGAAACCACGAGAATAAAGAATGAAGCATGAGATCCTTTGTTTCAACGTTCCCCAAGGTAAATACTTGTCCTCGTTATTCGCGAGCTTCCTCCCTGTGTAGCCGTACCGTGAAATCATTCGTAAATACTTGTCCTCGTTATTGCTGTACTTCTACGTTCGCGTAGCTATTGTGAAACCATCTATCTATAAAAGAGAACCGACCACCTGTAATTATCTGAAAATTCAGTCGTTCCGTTTACGTGAAGAGAATCGAGGAGAAAAACGACATTATCGGCGACGAGTGAAATCTCCGCGGAATAGTTCGATTGACATCTACTTCGCCTCTGTTGGTCACACGCGGCAGAGCGATTTCATATTTCATACGTAACACGTTCCGCCGACCTATGAACTTTTTTAAACGTATCGATTTCTTACTCAAATGCTTTGTAAAAAGCCGACCGATACCAAAACACTCTTCAGTTTTTGATTCGTGCACAACTAATAGCCAAGAGCTTCTCGCAAATTAAATCTCAGCGATGCAAAAAAAATCTCGAAATTTTTCCGGAGAAAATGTTATTACCGCTCATTTTTGCACAACACCCCGTTATATTGTGTCGTTGATGTACTATTGGATTTTTTACTTTCAGGAGAAAACACGTTCATTTAGCCAGTTAATGATTTAAGCAACCAAACTAGAAATCAGATATTTAATTCCATCGAACAAGATTGCAAAATGATTAACCGGCTTAAATTGGGCGATGTAATGGAAAAACTTGTAACTCGACGTTCGCGTTTCACGGCCTGTCCTTGTCTACAACGAGCTAACTCGATCTCGTGAAACGTAATCTCGTGACGTAAACTACCGTAGGAGCTTTAACGGCGGCAACTACTTCCTGTCATTTGCGCAAGCATGGTCTCAACATTTCAAAAAGTCTCTCTTTATTATAAGGACAAAGAAAAGTAAGGAGAAAAAGGCAAAGGATAGTACAAAATGAGATACACGCAGGTGGAGAGTAAAATACGGGGGGATGAAAAAAGTGAAAGGAACCATCTCGCCGGGGGAGACATGCCTCTTGAAGCTCAATATACGTGAAAGCCCCGCCGTATTAATGCTAAAAATATTACGTGTCTTGCGAACAATAGCACGCGCGACCGACGCACGGTATTTTATAAAATGCATGCTCGCTCTTCTCGTATATATAATTTATTCATACGTATATCGCGTGTTCGATAAACGGGAGATTCGCTTGAAAGTAAACTTGAAATGTAAATTAAATTGGCTGAAATTAATTAGAGATTTCGAGAAGCGACGACGAAATCTGACGAACCGCTTACCAGCGCGACCTCCGGCTGAGCTAAAATATTCAAGAGCCCAATAAAACTCAAAGCTTCGTTGACGGAACGAAAAGACACTCAACGGCGATGCAATCCCGAATGACTTCGGAAGATTTAGCAAGATCAAGACTCTCTCGATTCGGGCTTCTCACGCGTAGCGCGAGTATTTTCCAGCGAAAAGCATCGTAGACGTGGTCTCCCCGACCATGAGCGTGAGCGAACATCTCGGGGGCGTTTTTACGCCTCGTGTTCCCCGGGAGTGTTCCTCCTCTGTGTTTCGATAAACAAAAACAGAGGCGTTCGCTCTCCATTTTACTCGCGCGCGCGCGCGCGCGATTCATTGTCCTCCGCGACGTCGGGTGTGACTTGTCAGCCGCACCGACTACACCGCCTGGTACAGCCTTGCCAGTCGAATGAACACACCGAGCGGGTGTATCGAATCGCGTGGACATTCGTTAACACCGTGGTGCAATAACGCCGCTGACGACGGCACAATGTGTGTACACGTCCCTTTTGAGATGTGTGTGAGCGCGGCCGCGCCGCGTACCGCCGCTGTACTGTGTACGATGAGAAAGAGGGAGGGTGGCACAGGAGGGAGAGAGTGGTAGAGGCTGTATAAGCCCTAGTGAGCAGAGGATCATCGCCGTGGAATGGCATGATTATACGGACGGATGGAAGGGCCGCTTCGGAGGGCGGCAGGCAAGCAGGCAGGTAGGCTGAGAGAGAGAGAGAGAGAGAAAGAGAGAGAGAGAGAGAGAGAGAGAGAGAGAGAGAGAGAGAGAGAGAGAGAGAGATGGGCAGGAAGGGAGGAGAGTGAATAAAAAGTTGGGCCGACCGGACAAGCGAGGAAAATCGTGAGGAAAGAGACGGCGGAATATGAAACGACGAGCTGCGGCAACAAGTACAGCCCGGCCGACATCGTTCCAGCGCGTCGTAAATATCCGTTAGCGAGCCGAGAAACGCCGGTTCGACGAACCAGACCGAAGACGGAGTTGTCAGATCGAGAGGATCCGCCGATGATATTTGAGAAGCGCGACTGATTTCGCCGGAGATTACGCGACCACGACATTCGTGGCGTGTATAAGCGTGGTTCTAGAGGTGACGGGAAAACTGTCGCGAAGCTATTACCCTCATTCGATGAATCATCCAAGTCTGAAAATCATTCTTTTCCCAGCGGACATCTCAGGGATCCAAGCCCCAGCTACATCACTTGCCATCTTGATTCTTAGCTGATTATTTCATTGTATTAGGTTGTTAACCTAATAAGTATGAAATATCTGATTTCGAATCAAAAGTTTGGTTTATTATGTCTCATACCAGAAATAGTAAAATTAATCAAAGTATGCGCCTAAAGTATCGATACAGTTCTGTCATCTTAACGGTATCTTATTCATGCCATCAGTGAAGAAGCCTGAAGAGCGAGTGACGATGA